AAATATGAAACAAATATATCTTACTCTACTAACAATTGTATGTTCTAAGAATATATACAACTTGCAAGTTAAAAATATGAAAATAGCCTAATTCTATGTTTAAATAATCTTCAAGTATTTTTAATTTACAAACTATTACTTCAAAATTATAAAAATTGTAATAGTGTAAATACAATATAAGTACTTACTTCGTGGAATACATTTTAAGAGGTAAAAAAATTTTGATTAATTATTGTACTTCATTTGATTACGGAAGGAATTTCATGCTTTTTTCTCTGTAATACTTTGGCACTAATATAACATATTTTATTATTGCACTTCGATACAGGAATAATCTTGTTTTTATTTACAAGTAGCATATAATTTCTACCTTACGAACATATCTTAATATCATACAAATACAATTAAAATGTGAATGGATAAATGTAGGAATGGAAAAAATTGAATAAAATGCACATTTTGAAAACATGTTTAAAAGTAACAAAAACAATTTGCATTTACTTCATGTCATATTTTTCTCAAATTATAGACATTTGTCATTAAAGAGTAATAATAAAGTCATATATTTAACTATTTTTTTAACCTATTAATCATTAAACTCATAAAAAAGTTCAAGTTCAATTTTAAATAAATTATAAATTTTCGTGGATTAAAGCATTACATTTCGATAAGCACAGTTGGGTGTTAAATAGTACCATATACTTTTTCAACATAATATTCATTTCATCAGAGAGATATTGCAGATGTTAAAAAAATATTAAATATTGTAATATTAAGCTTTGATATGTTGAATACTGAATAGCAGATTTAATATCTCTTGTATATATCATTTTATTATTTTTAACTGTAATGCATTTAGAACCACAAAAATTTGTAAAATAAAAATCGTTTAAATTCGCAAAAATGATATTTTATAAGGAACAGTCAATATAAACAAAAATTATTAGATGTAAGATTTGTTAACATGTCAAATACAAAAATAAAATAATTCCATGTTGACAATATCGAAATATTATATAACATTAAATTAAAAATTTTGCAATATTCTGAATACTTTTAAATAAACTATATTGTACTTCTCATAACTCTCAGAGATTTTGGAAAATTATAATAATTTCGGAAGTATTATATAAAGTTTTAGCTTACATGAAAGAAAATTTACATCATATTTTAATCTACGCCTGTTAAAATGTAATATAAAAGGATTGCAAAAATATTTTTCTTCATTATTTTTGCATGGGTTGAATATAATTAATTTGATAAAAAAACATGACGATTTATTTATAATATTTTGTAATATGTTTTTGTCATATGTGATATAATGATCATATGTGATGGAGATTTTTGAACAGAATATTAAACAATTAATATTGACGCATATAATTTACAGATATAGCGCATGATAATATACAATATGAAGTAGCAAATCAAGAGAAAGATGATCTAATAGGTCTTTACTGCATGAAGAGCAATATTGGACAACATAAATGGTACAATTATAATTTTTACATTTATTTCATGTATTAGTAACTTGATGTGTTATAACTTTATCGTCGCATATAAAAAAAATAACAGAAAAATATTTTAGCAATTAAGTCACAAAAATATTTAAAAACATTTTTATATAAAACAATTTCTTTTAAATAAAAAAGGTGTATCTCTCAACCCACTTTCCTTTTTCAGCACCTCAACTACATAACATATATATAACTTTAATTTTAGATTACTCATTTTTCGAATTTTCCAGACTATTAATTAAGAATTAGTACAAAATCTTAAGCATTATAAAATTTTCCACGAATCAGAAAACATACAATTTCTGTTTGTATGTTAAGAGATCGAAAAGTTCTCTCCAGATTAGGCATCGTAAATCTGTGGGTCGGAAAATCAAGTCAGTATTTAGAGCGGACAAAGATAATAATGTGTATTTACTTCCTTTCTCCGTTCTGCTACTGTGTCTGCGTGCGCATATGTATAGATTATTGTAATAATGTTATTATTATTATAGGCTGATAGGTACATACAAAACAACACACAATAAAAACAATAACATAATATTAACGTGACGCTCACAATAATAATGATAATAATATTAATAATAATATAATATAATATAATAATAATCTTAAGAATTTTTTTAATAGGCATAATAAACATCAGTGGTATATTTAATAATTACAATCAACTTGTAGCAAAGCTTCGGACTTCACGGTAAACGCAACAGGATCGCTACCGTCCGATCGAAATTTCCCATTTAATCATTTCATTTGAAATTATTTATTTCATTATCATTTATATTGTATTATATTATCGTCATTACATAATTAACTGTTACAATACCGTGGCAGAACTATACAGTTATCCGGAACTCAGTCTCTCACGAATTCAAATTCACTCTATACGATCCACGTCTCATTATCGCGCTGTTTTTATTTCTTCATTCAGCCGCGTTTATCTGCGTTCATCATTCGCAGCTATTTCATACGCTTAAGAATTTCCAATTCATAATTATCTTATTTTTTTATCTTCTTTTTCTTACTCACGGGTTTTCACCATATCTCTTGCCCCTCTTGCTCACGCTCTCGGTCCTTCTTTCTCGCTTTCTTTCTCTATCGATTTTTCCAGTGCAAGGCCTGTGCCTACTTTTCATTTTGTACCACAAAACATACATTCGTATCCACAGCCGTGTGACACGTTCGTGTCACCACACATGAAACAAATGTACTCTTGCTTACAGAAACATACATACATATATGTGTGCGAATATACCTATATGTACACACACATATATATATATATATATATATATATACACACAAACACACACATACATCCGTCAAAACACACGCATACATATACATACACAAAATACACGTATATAATATATTGTAGCCATTCACACGGACTCAGTAGTCCTTTGTAATTTAGATAATGTTGCACCTTAGAATAGAGATCCAGTGAGATAATTTCTTTTTCATTTAACACCTGATTAGATTACTTAATCGCTGATGTTCTGTTCAAAATTGTATTCCGGCCGCGCTTAGGACTTCGTTCATACGGGATTGATTTTTTGTTATTACGGTTCTCGTCGTGAAAGACATGAGCACGAGTTTTAAACAAAAATATGTAAAACGACCGGAAGACATGATATATCCGTCGTGAGATATCCATTGGATATATTTATAAAGATTAATACTTGTAACATTCACTGAACGCAAAAAAGTAAATGTATATATATATATATTAATAATTATCAATAATTATGTATACATAATTATTGATAAACATTAATCAACAAATACGTCTTTTTTAAATCTAGCCAAAATATAGGATATATTATAATTAATAAGAACATATCAATTCCATAATTAATTTTAATATTAAATTAATTTTTAATATTAAAACTTAACAAATGTCGATTTAAAATATCAATCGACATCACGCCCAGTTTTTATCGACGGATACTTAGAATATCCAATGGTAATGAAATATTAGAAAAAAATTTTCGACATCGGTTTTTTAACAATTTAAACCAAAAGTTTTTATCACGAGTCATCAATTATCATAAAAAATAATGCAATTACACTATCTCGTCAGTAAGCTAATAAAGTTTAAAGTGTTAAGTACCACAACCTTTATACCTTTCACGGCAAGAATTTCGCCCGCGCGCGAAGATGAAAACACTGAGCCTATGATCTTAACCCTGTATAACATAATTTTTATGAAGATCCTAAACTCAGCCTAGAATGGTACAATAGACCACTATTTCTGGCTACTAGGTATATTTTTAACATAAATCGCTTTTCTTCAATATTAGTATAAGAATTATAGGTACTAATTTGCGATCCTTTTTAGGTGATTAGTACGACATTGTGGACGTAACTACCTAACTTTTCGGATACGCTCATGTTCTACACTGACTTCAAAATTTACCACTCTTTAATTTTGTTACGACAGGCAAATAATTGAATAACAAAAAAAGGAAATATTTTTCTGACAAATTATTTTTGATATTTCTTCTTAAATAAAAAATCGTAGTTATAAATAATACATATTTCAATAAATGTAAACTACGCCACAAGTTTGTTTAAATTACACATACGTGTATGATAAGTGACATTTAAATTCAAATATTACTTTGAGTAATAAACTGAGAACAGACATTTTTCGCAAATCTAGGTGCCAATAAAATTATGATCTACATTTCAAGAAAATAATATTTAAAAGAGCGTAAATGACGAGTAATAATAAAATTTTTGCTAATATTAACTTTTTAGTATTACCTAGCTGTACAATAGGTAGTTGACAAGATTTGCAGATTCTTAACGCGATCATATATAACCCATACCGAAGTGAAAAATTTATTTAAAGAGCGATACACATGCATTTACGCGAGATCAGTGAGTCCACTTACCCCTAAAAGTGACCCATCCGCTTTACAACTTGCGATTCTCGATGGACCGTCCAGCCCTAACTGCAAAATCAATGATGTCTGATTGAATCAACTCCGGGTGTAACTGCGATACGTTCCAATCTCCAAATATATGATCCGGGCCCGATAATAGATAGGGATGTGAGACGGAATAAACGAGTACATGATGTGACTAAAGGAGGAAAGAGAAGACTCTGGGCGGTGGGAGGAATAGGGGTAC